ACAATCAGGCGTCCCGGGGCGGTAACAAGCAGGCAGCCACCGACCCGAAAGGGAACCAGTTCTGTAACAACTGGATGCGCGGGCGCTGCCCGGGCAACTGCGGCCGCACCCACAAGTGCAACCTCATCCTGGCAATGGGCCGCATCTGCCTGGGGGACCACCTCCCGCAGGACTGCCCGGGTTGACTAGGGGCGCTGACCCCTACCCCCCGGGAGGCCTCAGGTGCCGAGGGCCCTGATAAGGCCCGGGGGGGCGAGAAGGGGCGCAAACGCCCCAAGCAGGCACAGAAGCCCCCTCCTGCAGGTGCCGAGGGCCCTGACACAGGGGGGGGACAGGCCAGGTGGCGGCCATCCTCGGCGGAACAAGGATGGGGACGGCAGAACCAGCGTGCACAACGCCCTCGCCGTGATCAGAACAGCCACACAACCGGCACAACGGCGGCGCCTCAGTCCCGAGCCACAGGTGCCGAGGGCCCTGATATGGCGGGGACGGGACGGTTCCCCGCAGGTGCCGAGGGCCCTGACACGGGGGGCCGCACCCACTGGCAGCACACCGCAACGCCAAGGGACACTCCCAGGAAGCAGCCGATCCCACTTCCGGCGCCCAACATCATCAAGCAGGACCCGGTGGTTTTCCACAAGAGCTTGGTGGGGCTGAATGAAGGGGGCCAACGCCTTTCAGCTACCCCCCTGACAAGTCCAACGGAGCCGTCACCGGGATTGGACATCTTCCCGTGGATGGAGAACATCCCTGAGCGTCTGGTACAGCGGCTGAGATGGACACAGGGCACATCGCCCAAAGTTCCATCCAGTGGGCCCATCATTGTCCTGCTCTATGCAGGCAAGGAAGACCCAACTTCCTTGGACAGCTGTCTTCATGCCAACTACCCACACCTTTCCAGCATGGTGGTGGCGGTAGACATCCTACGGTCTGGACCAAAAGGGGACCACGATATGCTCCAACCCAAGCTGTATGGAGCTCTTTGCACGGCAGCAAAGCAGGGCCGAGTGGTCTTCATTGGAGGAGGACCCAACTGCAGGACATGGTCCATCCTGCGCCACATACCAAAACCGGGGGCTCCCACCCCGGTGCGAGAACCCCACTGACCAGGCCGCCCAGACTCAACTTGATGATGACAACATCCTCATTCTGAGACAGATGTACATCACCAGCCTGGCAAGGGCCTCACGAGCGGCGGTTTCTCTGCCAGGGCCCAGGTCCTTCCTGGAACACCCGGAGGACCCAGTGGTGAGCAGCTCGCTGCCCAAAGCCAAGGAATGCTCATCCTTCTGGATCACAGAGGAGGGGCAGCTTTGGATGGAGGAGAACTCCTTGACAGCAATCTCCTTCGACCAGTGCCGCCTGGGCCAGCTGGTCAAGAAGGCCACTACGCTGGCCACGGATCTCCCGATCCAGGACTGGGATCAAATGCGGTGCACGCATCAGTCACATGTGGGCACCAACGAGTCCTCGACTCTTAGCAGATACCCTTGGGATATGATGGCAGGCCTGGCCAAAGCCATCGCTGTGTCACTCGCAGCGCCGGGGCACATCCGGATCCCCTCACAATTTCCGGGAAACCCCAAGGAACCACCTAAGGGGCGGGGGTCGGACCCCCCGGAAGGCCATTCCCCCCGGGGAAAACGGGGGCCCAGTCAAGGAGGCGGTCCCTCCTCATCACACCAGGGCTCCAAGCCCGGAGGCAAGAACGCCCCGAAGCCCCGCCTGCACGGGCAGTTCCACCCTGAGGCAGACACCGTAAGCCCTCGTGGAACAATGAACCCAGACTTCCCATCTCCCATGCCTCACTGACCGGGTGGCGATTGTCCAATTGGGTTTCCGCTCACGCCCCCTGAGGGATGGGGGGGGAAAACCTTCCCCAGGGAGGCTCAACCCCCCTTTTCGGAGAATTTCCCCATTGGATACTTTGGGCACCCTGATCTTGACCCTTACCCGGCCCTGGATTGACAAGGTCCGAATGTCCCTGGCATCAGGTGCCACCACACACCCCTTCCAGGAAGCCGACCTCGAGGAGCTGCGGGCTATCCTAGGACCGAGGCACCTCCATGAACGATGCCCAGGACAACCCTTCCTCCTGGACTTAGTGTCGCACTTGGCATCCCTTTCAGGTGACCCTGATTGGGAGTTCCCCCTAACACTGAAAGAGGGGGTCCCCTTGGGAGTCTCGGACCCTACCTTGACCTCCCCGGGAGTTTGGCCCACTAAGGAGGAGCTTAAGGGAGAAGCCTGGCTGGGGGAAGATCCCCCCCCGCCAGTGGCTCATGATAACTACCCAACGGCTGAACTCTTTGCCAAGGAAATCGAATCAACCTTTTACGAGGAACGAGCCTTGGACATGGTGGACGGGCCCTTCACTCGCTCCGAGGCGGCAGAGAGGTGCCGCTGCAAACCGGAGGAACTTTGCCCGGGCCCCCTTGCAGGGATTGATGAGTCGGACAAGATCAGGACGATCTATGATGGCTCAAAAGGGGGAGCAAACGCACACATCCAGGCTCACACGGAGGAGAAGACCACCGCACCGATGGTTGGAGACTGCCTCCATGCCATCCACTGGCTCAGGACAGCGGCGGACCATCCTCATCTACTCCGGTGCAGGGGCAGTCCCCAGGTGCCGAGGGCCCTGAGAGGGACCCCCACAGCACCAGCCTGCCCCCAGGTGCCGAGGGCCCTGATAGGGGCAGGCGGATGATGGAGACCTCTGGCGGCCTGGACGTCTCTCCGCGGTCAACACCCTCAAAGAAGGGGCCACTCCCAGGTGCCGAGGGCCCTGATTGGAGGGCCCCATTCCCCCCAACCCCCCCAGGCACGGAACGCCCTGGGGGAGCAGGGGGGAACCCCTGACGTGGCAGCCGCCGACACAGGGGGAAACCTTCATCATCCTCAAGGCGGATGTCACCAAGGCCCACAGGCGCATAAAAGTGCTCCAGAAAGACTGGAAATACCAGGTGGCCTGCATCCAGAACCGGTGGTGGGTCAATAGAGTGGGCACGTACGGCATGGCCTCGGCACAACTGTACTGGGGAAGAAAGGCATCCTTGGTGCTCAGACTCTTGTACTACATCTTCCCTCAGGTGGACTGGCACTTAGTCTTTGTGGACGACTACTGCTGGGTCCTCAGATGCAGCAGGGCGGACTGGGACGCCACAGCCATCCTGGCCACTCTTCTGGCGCTGGGAGTCCCGCTTTCTTGGAAGAAGACGGCGCTCTCCCCGGTCAATACCTGGTTGGGATTCGTGGTGGACCCAATCACGCCCTGTGTGCTGCTGGCTCCAGTCAAGCACGTCATAATCCTGGCCACTCTCAAACGGCTGGCCCAGGGGGACATCTTTACCAGCAAGGAGGTGGAACAAGCCCTGGGCCGGATTCAATGGGCTACTTCGGCGTGTCCATTTTGGAGCTGGAAGAAGGCCTGCACCACTTCGGGCAGGCCACCGAAGCTGGTTCGTGCTCTGGCCATCCTTCTGGGGAAGCTCTTCAACCAGAGGTTCCCACTGGCATCTCCATTTGCTCCCACACTTCCATGGACGGGGGCATCTGATGCGGGAGCTGGCAAACAGGCGGACCATGCATGGGTTGGTGGTTGGTGCTCGGACGTGCCCAACCCCGACAAGTCCCGAGTGAAGTGGTTCCAACACAGAATCACACCGGAGGGCGAGCCGTGGGCCTTCACTACTGGGGACCCGCAGCGGGCGATAGCGGCCTTGGAGCTCTTCGGCCTCCTCCTTTTGGTGAGGGCTGTTCTGCTTTGTGCAGCCGGCTCGGCTTCTCACACTAGGATTCTGGTTGCTAGTGATAACCAGGGAAACGTTTTCTCCCTGCTTAACGATTCCACTCGCAGGATGCCCAATGCGGCCATCCTCATGGAAATTGTGTTAACACTGCATGACCACCAGGTCATGTTAGGACCGTCGCATGTGAAGCGCGACTTTAACACATGGGCGGATGAACTTACTCATCCGGACCCGCAATTTCCGACTGAGAACCGGGTCTTCCCCTCAGTCGAAAGCGAATTGATCAAGCTGATCTTCGCTACTTTCCTTCCTCACCCATGATGCCGGGAGGGCATCCGGTGAGGTGGGAGGATTCCTCCCTCGCTGTGGGAGTGGCATCAATTCTACTCCCATCAGCTGCTGAGGGGAGCTGCCCAGTGGAGCTGGGCAATCCTCCCATTTTGGCACTAATCCTTATGCGGCGTAAAGGATGCACCGTTTCGCGATTAAGGTACCAGTAGCACCAATGTGGTGCTTTGAAGAGTCTGATAGAAGTCATTTGTCATTGAGGTCCACAGAGAAACATCATTCATTCCCTTGCTGGTTCTCGGTAGGGAATGCCCCGTCAGCTTTGGGAATGAACCGTTTGGAATTCCCTTAAAGAACTACATCCACGGGGGATGGAATTTGGAGTGCTCATTCCCGGGATTCCCTGAGCAGAAAGTTCCGGACCCTAAACCAAAAACCAGCCTGAATGAGGCCCCCTGGCTGGCTCGGGGACCGACCCCTTTTTCCTTGGGGTTTTTGGGACTGGGGATCCGTTTCAAGGGCTCGTGAGTTGAGACGGAGCGAGCACCTGCCACACCGCAACCAACTGAGTCCACGGGAAGTCTTCCGCTGGCCAGGGGCCCGAGCGCACAAAAATACGATCGCAGCCCGGAATCAGACGCGTTGGAATGATCCTGCAAAGGTTTATGTATGACCCTGCCTCCCACGAACATAGCAACTGATACAAGATACCATCAAGAGGAAAACCATCTTCCAGGTAGCCTCCCACAGCTGCTAGGTTTGTTGGAGGGAGGGTATCCCTTGCTTGCGTCGAAGCATTGTCCTTGCTCTAGGAAGAAGGAAGCAAGCTGAGAATAGTGCAATATGGCCAGACAGCTAAGAAGATGTCGCCAAACTTGCTTCAACTCGGGCTCAGTTCCGAAAGTCCTTCGCAAGCGCAAACACTTCAGAAGTATCCCAAGTTGCGATTTCGCCATGCAGGACAGGGCATACTCCATCGTTTACGAGTACAATGCTGGGTTGCCAAGCGTGAGCCCAGCGTGTCCAAGTCCAAGTTGGCTCTTGGCCGGCTGGATCGGCTCCAGAGATATACTCTTTTGGCATACTCCTTTGGGCAGAAAAACAAAAAATACCCTTTTTGGCCTTTTGGACAAGGTCTCTGTGTTTGCAGACTTTTTGTTGTGCGTGTCTCGACGAATGCAGGAAAAGAACGCCTGATGATCCGAATCCCGGCTCGTCAGACTGAGGGATAACCCTCAATGGTCTTAGCTTCAACTTCCGCGTGAAAGTCGGTGTTTGTGTTCCAGGACCTCAGTTTCTTGGCAGTTCCACGACAGCCGCTTTGGGCTGCAGGGCTTTGGTGCAGAGGGTTTATGTTCTTGCATTCAGAGACATGAATCTGAATCTTGCTCTAGGAGACAAGCCTCTTCCAGGCAACACTGAGGAACCCTCAAATTCTTGCTTCTTGCCGGCCTCTTCCCGGCCTCTTCCCGTCCATGGGCAAGAATGAGAGTTCCTGATATTTGCGTGTTCGTAAAAATTTGAGGGTTCCGAAAAACAGTGAGGGTTCCCAATAATGTTAGGCCTGAGACAATGAGGATGCATTTTTCTGCAGCTTCCAGCCACGCAAAGAAAGGAGGGAGCCAAGAATTTGGGGCCTGCAGACGAGGGACCCTTGAATTCTTGAGCTAGTCACGACCCGGGTAATGCAACATATATAATGGTTGAAACCCCCTCTTCAGCCCCTCAGTTTCTATTCCAGTGTTTTTAGAAACAGTGCTTGCGCTGTACCCGATCACATGTCGCCAGAGAGATTGGCACCCAGGAGGTTGGCAACGTGCATAGCTTGGACGGCGGCTAAAGCATGGCATGTGGTCACAGTTCAACGCTGCCCGGGTCTTCGGACCGAGCATGGGGGGGTTTTACTTAGGTTAGAGCACGGACATGTCCAGGGTCAACCATTCTGAGCGGTCTGCGCGCTGGACACCCCGACCCAAATCCAGAATATGAGAAGGATGTTCTGACTTCAGGCATCGACCAGTTGATAGAAACACACGTTTTGTCTGCCGCTTACGTCATTTCTCACGGACTCAACAATGTCGGCTTCATTTGTTCTCCTTGAACGTCTCTTTTGGAGCCTTCTTGATTTGATGTTCATGCGGAGGTGCTGATGATATCCTTCTTACCATACCCCTTGCGTTCTGAAACAACGTCAGAG